AAAATATCACAATAGTAGTGGAACTAGGTAATGTTTTTATTTGATGTCAGAAAAATTTTGTATGCTTGTGCTAATTTATACCCACAAAATTTATAGGCGAGATGTGGTGCAATAAATGAATTGTTATAGATAATTAAGTAATACCACTGTTGGAAATTATAATTAGAACAATGCATTTTCCTAAATTCAAAAGTATAATGTGTCATTCTTTTTGTCTTTTATCTCCCTTACTCTCAATGACACAATCACTAACTTATTTTTGGGGCGAGCCTGAGCTCGCCCTGCTGAGGCGAGAAAGTGTTTGTTTGTTTGTTTGTACGGGCAGACTGTCTAACTATTATTAAAGTTAAATAGCCTAATCTTCATTGAAAGCGGGTGTGGTCACAATGATAAAATTAAATGGCGGCTATAAGCAAGTCTGAGTTTATTTGCAGGAAACGGTCAGCTAGATAAGGCTAAACTGCTGTCTGAAACTTTTCTAGCAAGAATAAAAGTTGGGAGAGCAGATATACAGTCTTTTCCTTGGTATAAAGGATTCTGCTAAGGTGAATGCAAGTGAGAAAGCTGCATGTACTGTACTGCTAGCTACATGCATCATGAGATCTATTCTAGGTGATGTTTCTTCTCTAGGAGCAAGCCTAGGTTAACAAAGCAGATATACAATCTTCAAACATGATTTTTTCAGTGACTGCTTCTAACTATAAGCAAGATAACTTTAATTTAAGCAAGATGACTACAAGATACATGAATTTAGACATGTGCAATTGCTTTGCTAGCTCAGACATGTATATCATACAGCACATAATCTAAAGCTTGCTTATAGGCTCGCCCCTTTAATGTTTTACATTTGTCTAGCACACCTCCTTTTTCTTCTCTCTCTTTCTCAGGTTTTAGTGATGGTCAATGGTCAGTGGGCCTGGTATTACATTCATATAGTATTCCTTTATTGTATGAACTAATACTAAAAGGAAGAAGAAAGGAATTGATTGTAATGAATAAATACATGACAGATAAAGTGAAAGAGCTTCAAGTCATCAATGAGTCTTTACTTTATGATCTACAAGTGTCTAGAATTAACAACCAATCACTTCAGGAAGCACTACTAGCACAGGAATCAGGTATATATACAATTATACATGTACCATTATACTACAATTACTGCATTTGCTTTGTTTTATGAAGTTATAATTACCGTATTTCCTCGAGTAAAAGCCGCCTCTAAGTAGCCGCCTCCCTCGAATAGACGCCTCCTGGGGCCAGGGTAGTCAAAGAAATTACCACCGCCTTCAAATAGATGCCGCATATAATACTATTCATTATTATTATTAATAACCAAGTATTTAATTAACTAGTAAAATGGCCGTCTAGTCGTCGCGTCTAGTCACAGTTGAGTCTTAGTCGAGTAGTTCCTTCATCCTATCAATTAGTTTTTTCTTTCCAGGAAAGATATAGATACAGGGTACCTCTAGGACCTTTCCAAATTCCCTTTTCCCATTAACATGAGCTTCTATTTGATCCCACAAAGCAAGAAATATGATGCAACTCGCGAAAACTCCCTAGGAAGGAGAAGTACATGTAGCTCATAATGCAAAGACACTGGGGAACATCTAAACTCCTACAGCCTGAGGTAGAACATGAGAGTGATCTTTCTCCAGACCTGGAACTGGAAGTAGTAGAGTAGTAATTGACATGATGAAGATTGAGTTATTTTGTTTAAAAAGAGTATTAATGGTAAAAATTAATAATTAATTTAAAATTAAAGACAATTAATAATAATCGCCGCCCTCGAACAATGGCCGCCCTTGTATAGTCGCCTCCCTCCTACAGATGGAAAAATGAAATAGATGCCGAGGCTTTTACTCGAGGAAATACGGTACTGTATGATTTTGTCTAATTATACTTATATTAGGCACAATTTCAATAACATCATCACCAGTTTGAATGAATTCTTTTGAATTTTTGTATAGTGCCCATTTTTATGCCATTTGTGCCATGTCATACATTATATATTAATTCACTTTCATTACTTTTTTATTTGTACTCTTGTACTCTATACTATTTCAACTGCAACTGCTAGAAACTAAGACTCTTTTTACTAAACGAAACAGAGACCAAGAGGACTCACGACACTCAGGTGATAATTATATGGAAAGTAATGCCATGTGTATGTAAATCTGTAGCTGGTAATTTTGAGGGGTAATTTATTCATTTTGGTGATTGGTGTGCTTTATTAAAAAGTTATGGCCATATGCCATTGTGCATACACAATTACACATAATTTTAGATTTTTTTTGGTGAATGGTTTTTAAAATTCCAAAAATATTTGCTAAAATATTATTATGAGCTAAATAGTACATTGACTTTAACGTCAATAAATAATTTTCTGTTAAAAGTAAAAATTTAATTTTCTACAGATAATGCCAAGAAGCTTAAAACTGATGAATCAGCGGAGGAGAAACAAATAATGACTGATGGTCAGTGTATCATCAGTACATAATATTAGATGAGTCTATTAATGTAGAAGATAATGAAAAACTTAGAGCTACAGTTGCTTATAATGAAGTATACATAACTGAAATAGAAGAAGAGAAGAGACAATTAGAGGAAGAAAAGAAACAACTAGAGGAACAAAAGAAACAACTAGAGGAACAATATCTAGCAGAGAAACAGATCACTAAAGGTTAGAGTATTGTCATCAATGTGTACATGTAAAATATGAGAGAATATTTAGAACTTAAAACTAAATTTGCTGATAATGAGAAGTATACTGCTAAACTAATGAAGGAGAAGGGGCAATGGAGTCATACCAAAGAGACTAGTACCAAAGAAGTGCAATTTGATTACATGATCCCTTCAATGGGTAAGAGTATTATACTGACTGAGTGTAAATTGTATACAATTGATAGATAATTTGGAATATCTGAGTGATGTCCAGGTAGCAGAGAAGAAGCTGTTCTTAATTCAAGGAGACAAACCTCAACTGATGAATTGGGAGAAATATGGTCTAAGGATTGGAGTACAAGAAGGAAGCCTATTGTCCTCTGAGACAGTAGAAGCAGCAGTGGTTGCTCTTGTAGGGGGACAGTTCAAGTTTCCTCCTAATACTGTCCTAGTGAGTGCTGTGTATGCAGTATCACTCTCAAAGCCTCTCCTCAAACGACTCAAGTTAGAGATACAGCACTGCGTTGATTTAAGAGGACGACCAGATCTTGCACAATACTTAAAGTTTGCTATAGCTCCCATGAGCACATCTAGTCTTCCTTACCAATTCTCAATAGTTGAGGGAGGAGAGTTTAGCTCTAATAGTGGGTATGGATCCATTCAACGTAACAAGTTCTGTTTGGTTTGTATACTGGGGGAAGACTCAACTAATGAAGACACGGAGGAAGGAGGGGATGATTATGGTAGTGACAGTGATGTTGATACCAGCAGTACTCCACCAGGGGCTAGTGGAGCATGTAAAGGTTAGTTAGTGAGTCTATTGATGATAATGTAATGTATTCCACTACTGAATAGAGTCTACTACTAAAGAGACTAACCTCCCAACCAATGCAGTGTCTTTTGCTGATACTATTACTACACCAAACACTGATCATGTTAACAGTAAGTACATGTACACACTCTCCTATCACTAATATTATAATTATATTAATTTATATAGAAGTACATTCCACTGGTGTAAAGGAGGCTATGACATATGCTGGTTTGATCTATTATCAAGAGAAAGGTGTGGAAGATTTAGTAGTGTTTGCTGCAGCCAGAGACTTGAATGCTCTCATTGAGGTAAGTGTGTCCCTTGTTATATCAGTTATTAATTAATGTTTTGTGAACTTACAGTTTATTAAGAGTGATTTTCCCGGAGCTGAGAGAGGACAACACGTTTATTTTTGTTTTGAAGATAATGATGGATGTATTGAGCTAAAGTTTGATACTCCACAAGAGAAGGATATTACTGGTTGGACTATTGACCCTCACATTAAACCATGCAGAGTAAGTATAACAGTATTATGGTAAATACATTACTGTAAATTATTCTATCTGTTAATAGTTACATCGTTGTGTTGTTAACAGATTTGGTGAAGCTAATTATCCTCTTCCTCCATCTTGCTTGATATCCATTCTTGCTTCACCTGATGCTGTCCCTACACTACATTACTCCATACCATTGGAAGGTGTGGCTGATCCTGTTTCATTATACATCCACAGATCACTACAAAGAAACCCTCCTCCCCCTCCTTCAACAGGTAATAGAAACAAATGATTTGAAATTATTTATTTAATTATTTAATATTAATCAGATCCTACTACCTCCTCCTCCTCTTCTAATCCAATTACTGAAGCTACTCCATCATCCACTGGAGGAGCTAGTAAGTAACAGTGTGTGTGTGTGTGTGTTTATGCATGGTTTGCGTGTATTAGGTTATATTGACCTTTGACCATTATTAGGTGCACCAGCTACTGATGATGTTGAGAGAGTGAAGAAAATCATTAATGATGTTCTTGTATCTCACTTTGCTGTTCTTAATGATCTTAAAATGTCTCTCTCAGATCTTGGTAATCAATTGTTTGCCTCTGGTCTTATTAGTGATGAAGTCAGGGAGACTCGTAGCATGGAAAAATTTATCGGAGAGTTCAAGGCTAGTTTCAACTTTATGGATGAAATGTCTGAAATTCAAGATCACTGTAAGAAGTTTTTGAACTCATTCATTGCTGTTCGAGGTGGTTATGCTAATGCTGCCAAATTTTTACGTAAGAAGTGGATTGGAGCTATTAAAACTAAGCTAGGCATTGATTTTATTCTTGATATTTAGTAGAAATTCCACTCCCCACAAGTAGCAATGCATGTATGTATAATGTGTGTGTGATGCTGCTATTTTGTAACAAAATTTTTAAAAATATTGATTATAACCATGAAGCTATTAATTAATATTGAATGTAATTTGTAAACTATTATTTAATGATTCTAACGAGTCATTGTTTTTAATGAATATAAAGTTTTGGGTGGGACCAGTCATTGATTGGACCAATCAGATCGTCGTGCATGATGACATGATAATTATGTCAGCCCCACCTAGCTTCAGGGCGTGGCTCAATTTGCAAATCTGCAGCTCAGTGGTGTGAAAATGACATCAACATGAACTAAATTAAGAAATCAGTTACAAGGAGCTGGCCAGGAGGTCATAGAGTGGTGTAAATGAATAATAGCTACCATTGTTGAACTGTGCTGCATGAGCAGTGGGCTGGATCATATGATATATGTAGATCTATTTGTTACCGTAGCTCTAGCGCTCGTAAAAATGGACAGAAATGTAGTTCAAACAAGTCAGTCCTTTGAAATTGAAGCCTCTCTTTTTTATGCTTTGTTATTATTCTACAGATCAGTATAAATTTAAATGGAGAGCTCGACACACAACTGCAGTAGTAGGAGAGGTCCTGTACTGCTGGGGAGGGGATAAGGAAGGCTTAGATGAGTCCCACAATTCTTCTACAAAAACACAGTGTACTTCTGCTATTGATGCATTTAACTTATTATCTGGTGTTTGGTCCTCTCGACCTACTAGAGGTACTTCTCCATTGGGAATCAGAGGAGTCTCCTGTACCACCATTGATAATAATATTTATTATTTTGGTGGCTATTGTGGCCATGACAGTTGCTTCCATAACAGTTTGAACTGTTTAGACACTTTAACTCTTCAATGGAAAGAATTACAACCAACCGATGACAATTCTGTAAATAAAAGAGCCTATGGTGGTATAATAGCAATGGGAAGTGAAGGTGAACCTCAACAATTACTGGTTATTGGCGGAATAGCTCCTATATCAACTACTACACACTATCATTCTGAATTTAAATACAGGAAGATACCTGACATGGATGAACGTGTTAGAATTAATGAACAGAATATGTACAACCTGTCCAGTGGTGAGTCAGTTTTGAGGAAATACATATTTTTAACTTTTATATTTACATTATTATTACATCTAGAATAAATTACATCAATATACAAAATAATAATTTTTAGGTCAATGGATTGTTCCATCTGTCAGTGGACAGTGTTGTCCACCAACTGATAGTTTTATAATTGAAAGGATCAGTCCTAATAAAGGAATTATGTATGGAGGACTAGTGTCTCATGGTGGTATCAGCATACCTACTAACAGTATCTACTTGTTTCAATTATCACATTGTAATGATAGTATAATTATAGTAAGTTATACAGAAAAGGAATTTACAATCACAAAAATGTAGCAAAATTAAGTTTAATCAAGCTACAGCATCATACTCTTGGCTACATGAACAATTCATTTATTATTTTGTATATGAATAATCATATAGAACTGGGAGATACTGAAGCCAGGAGCAATACCTATTGATGGAGTATGGCCTAAGGAGAGGTGTGCTCATGCTAGTACTATTATCCATGGTGTCTCTACCTCACCTACACTAGTAGTGATTGGTGGAATGGATCATAGGAATGAACTAGTGAAGGAATGTTTATTACTAGACACAAACCAGTACAATTGGATGAAGGTAATACACAATAGTTATTATACAGTGAATGTAAATTGACTAAAGATTTGTGATGTGAATGTTACTAGCTTACTAGTCATCAGACGATCATTTTAATTGCTATTTTTACTTCCATTTTTGTAGCTAATAATGGTTTTCGCCATTAAATGTCCAATCCTATATATGCATCATGTAATACCACCTCAGCCTTGTGTGTATAGCTGTATAACTTGACCTGTACTATGTTATTATAACTGTAAACTGTACACTGTGTATTTGTATTTTCTTATTTTCTACAGATTCCTCTACCTGATTCTGTTACTGGTAGATACTATCACACTGTATCATCTTTTGTTCTTGATCCTAATCATGTGTTCCTGATAATAGTGGGAGGTGATGTAGAGAGTATGGACTGGATTAATAGACGTGTTCCTGATCCTCTTATTACAATGCTAATAGAACTAGGTAATATTATCATATTATGCACTATTATTCAAAGTCCAAAGATAAAGTGATGCAAAAAAATTAATAACTGATGATGGTAATCAATACTAGAAGTCATTAATACACTTCAAATATATTTTAAATAATTATGTTATTGCTTTTTTCTGTCCTTTTCCCTCCCTTGCTCGATCATTCACTTATTTTTACTCCTCATCCTTTTTTCTCCCTCAGTTTTTAATGATGGTCAATGGTCAGTGGGTCCAGTATTAGATTCATTTAATATTCCTTTATGGTATGAACTAATACTAAAAGAAAGAAGAAAGGAATACATGACAAATAAAGTGAAGGAGCTTCAAGTTATCAATGAGTCTTTGTGTCATGATCTACAAGTGGCTAGAATTAACAACCAATCACTTCAGGAAGCACTACTAGCACTGGAATCAGGTATATATACAATTATACATGTACCATTATACTACGATTACTGCATTTATATAAGATTTTGTTGTTGTGTAAAAATTGCTTTAATCGTTTTATAAAATTATATTTATTGTATGATTTTGTCTGTCAATTACTTATACAGTGTCCTTTATTATTGAGTATTGCTCGTTTATTAGGAACAATTTTAATAACATCATTACCATCATTGCCACATTACGTATTAATTCACTTTCATTAATTAATTTATATTTTTTATTCTACTATTTCAAATGAAGAGAAGAGTATGCTAGAAACACATTTACTAGAAACTAAGACTCTTCTTACTAAACGAAAGAGAGACCAAGAGGACTCACCAAACTCAGGTAATAATTATATGGATTATAAATTAATACCATATGTATGTACATGTAGCTGATAATTTTGAGGGGTATAAATAACGTTTTTTGGTGATTGGTGTCTTTTAATTAATTCAGCAAAATTCTGGCCATGTGCCATTGTACATATGCATAATGGTTCAAAATGGTGAATGGTCATCAAAATGCCAAAAATGTTTACTAAAATCTCATTATGAGCTATACTGTACATTGATTTTAACGGGAATTGATTTTTTCTGTTAAGAGTAAAAATTTAATTGTCTGCAGATAATGTTAAGAAGCTTAAAACTGATGAATTAGTAAAGGAGAAACAAATAATGACTGATGGTTAGTGTATCATCAGTACATAACATTAGATGAGTCTATTAATGTAGAAGATAATGAGAAACTTAGAGCTACAGTTGCTTATAATGAAGTATACATAACTGAAATAGAAGAAGAGAAGAAACAAGTAGAGGAACAATATCTAGGTTAGAGTATTATCATCAATGTATAATTATGATGAGAGAATATTTAGATCTTAAAAGTACAGTTGCTGATAATGAGAGGTATACTGCCAAATTAATGAAGGAGAAGGAGCAACTACAGGAGAGAGTCACATCCTTAGAGGAACAATCCATCAAAAAGACTACTAGTACCAAAGAAGTGCAATTTGATTACACGATCCCTTCAATGGGTAAGAGTATTATACTGACTGTGTGTATATTGTATACAATTGATAGATAATTTGGAATGTCTGAGTGATGTCCAGGTAGCAGAGAAGAAGCTGTTCTTAATTCAAGGAGACAAACCTCAACTGATGAATTGGGAGAAATATGGTCTAAGGATTGGAGTACAAGAAGGAAGCCTATTGTCCTTTGAGACAGTAGAAGCAGCAGTGGTTGCTCTTGTAGGAGGACAGTTCGAGTTTCCTCCTAATACTGTCCTAGTGAGTGCTGTGTATGCAGTATCACTCTCAAAGCCTCTCCTCAAACAACTCAAGTTAGAGATACAGCACTGCGTTGATTTAACAGGACGACCAGATCTTGCACAATATTTAAAGTTTGCTATAGCTCCCGTGAGCACACCCAGTCTTCCTTACCAGTTCTCAATAGTTGAGGGAGGAGAGTTTAGTTCTGATAGTTCATATGGTTCTATTAATAGAATTGAATTCTGTCTAGTGTGTGTTTGTGGTGAGTGTAATGGAGGAGATGAAGGAGGAGGAGGAGGAGGTACTACTGACAATTTACCATTTGGATCCACCTCTTCAGCAGGTCAGTAAATACTGTATACATTGATACATTATTTATAGCTCCACACAGATCCTATATCAGTCAATTCCTCATATACTAGCGGTAAGTATTTATTACTGAATTTTATGAGCTAATAATTTTATTTACATTTTTAGCTATGATTATATAATTCCTCATTGTATATTTGATTAATTTTGTAGACGTGAATCAGCAATTAGGAAGCAATTCAGCTAGTGTATTGTCACAATTATCACAATCTATTAAATATGCTGGTTTGTTTTTTTATGAGGAGAAAAGTGTAGAGGATTTAGTGACATTTACTGCAGCTAAGAAATTAAATGCACTTCTTGAGGTACATTGTACATGTAATTCACTATTACCCATCACTGGTTAATTTGTTATTTTATGCAGTTTATTGAGAAAAAGCACCCACAAGCTAAACTAGATCTCAATGTTTACTTTGGTATTGCATCTTCTGATAGTTTTGTTGAATTAAATTTAAATGGTCCTCAAGATGAGCTGTTTACTGGATGGAGTATTAAACCTCGCATGACACCTTGCAGGGTATGTTATACTGTGTACTGTAAAGCAATATAACTTTTATTTTCAGTTGTATCAAGATGATATTAATAATTTTGGTGATAAAGATTATCCTCTTCCTCCATCTTGTCCAATATCAGTGTATGGATCACCTGGTGCTGTTCCTACACTAAATTACTCCGTACCACTGGAAGGTGTGGTCCGTCCTGTTACAATATGCATCCATGCATCACTAAAAACAACAAGTAAGAAATAAATCATCTCAATTATTTATTTATTTAATATTAATCAGATCCTACTACCTCCTTCTCTTCTAATACAATTACTGAAGCCACTGCATCATCCACTGGAGGAGCTAGTAAGTAACAGTGTGTGTGTGTGTGTTTATGCATTGTTTGTGTGTATTGGGTTGTATTGACCATTGACCTCTATTAGGTGTAACAGCAACTGTTGATGTTGAAAGAGTTAAGAGAATCATTAATGATGTTCTTGTATCTCGTGATGCTGCACTCAATTCTCTTATATCATCTCTCTCAGATCTTGCCAGTCAGTTATTTTCAGTTGGTCTCATTACTGATCAAGTTAAAAGAACTTGCTCAATGGAAACTTTTATTACAGAGTTCAAGTCTAGTATTAATTTTAAAAGGAAGCTATCTGAAGTTCAGGAGCACTGTCAAAAGTTCTTAAGCTCATTCGTTGCTGTAAGAGGCAGTTATGCTGATGCAGCAATAGCTTTAGGTGAGGACTGGATTGAAGCTATTAGAAATGAACTGGGATTTGATTTTAATATTAATATTGATACTTAATTGCTGCTTTGTTTTATTTGCAAAATTTTATAATTTGTATATTGTTTTGCTCCACTCATTACTTTGGTTCATGTTTAAACTAACACTAGATCCATAGTGTTTAGCTGCCCACATATTATAGGCATAGTTTCATTAGCCACCATTTCTTGCTGCCATAATTGTGTAATGTATATGTATATTTGCAAACACATACAAAAACTCAATACATATATGAACAGTTCAAACTCAATATAAACTGGGATTTCACTTTAATATTAGTATTGAGTCATAGATATAGTCTGTGGCATTTTACATTGACCTTTTTAAAGCTATTTAATTTTCATCACTGTATTATATGTATTGTATTGTGTTTAAATCTAGCTACGTAATGTTCCACTCTTCTGGTCTATATTGTTCTTTCCTTTCACTCCAACTCTTTCATTTTTCATTGAAACTGTCTTCTTCTCTGAATTTACATATTTCTGTCTATCATTCCTAATATACAAAACAACAAAAGAGGCAACATAAAAGCATTAAAATGAAATACAGCAATAAATCATACATGTATGTGTCACTACATG